AGACCCTCTAAACAGATATGTTATCAAGCATTGTCACATGGCTATAAATGTACATGCAAAATTAATGACTTAACTGAGCATTAACTAATTACTACACAATACATTTAAGGGCAAAATTAAATAAACATTAACCCAAACCAATAAACTTGGGGTAACAAGGCAATACAAACCAGCTAATGTGCAAGATAAAATTATGCTAAAAAAAACAAATATAAAAAGTAACAATTATAATAACAAAATAATAATAAACAAATGTGGAAAAGAAAGAGAGAGAAAAGAACAAAAAGGAGGAAGAGAGAGAGAGAGAGAGCACGAGAGAGAGAGAGAGAGTGGGGAAGAGAAAAAGAAGATAGAGAAAAAGAGAGAGGAGAGAGAGCTAACGATAACATACCGAAAAGGGTAAACAGACTTTGGGGCGTAACCATCTTTAGAGGGAGAGAAGAGCAACAAGCAGCGTGAGACAGGTAGAGAGGTAGAAGAGTCGGAGCGGAGCGGAGGTAGAGATGGACAGATCGATCCAGAACGGAGGTAGGTAGGAGGAATGGTGGTTTTTGTTTTTCCCCCGGAGAGTGATGAGGTGGTTTGGTCAGGGGAAGGGGCGGGGTTTTTGGGATGTAACATGACAGAGGGGTAGTTAGTGTTAAGGGGAGGAAGAGGGCAAGGGGATGAAGGAGTGATTTGATAGGTTAAAGCAAGGACAAAGAATGGAGGAGAAAAGGAGTTGGGGTACAAGAGGGGGAAGAGAGAGAGAGAGAGAGAAAGAGATGGGAAGTGGTAAAAGGGAGGAAAATGTATATTGGGGTAAATATTAAAAAAAAAAAAAAAAAAAAGTAAGGAGGGGGACAAAAATAAAAAATACAGGTCAGTACACTGGAATAATGTAGGTAGTTTGATCAGAGATAATGGCTTGGATCAATGTTTCCTTTAGTCATAAGCACAGCACATCACCAAAATGTAGTTCAACCTGGACAAGCATGGGGTAGAGGTACATTCAGTCAAAATCATATGAAAACAAAACAGCAATAAAGAAAAGTCAGAGGCATCAAAATAAACACATGCAATTGGCCAGAAATGTGACCGTCTCGACTCTTTAAGTCAAAGAGAATGGTACGAGACGAAAAAGAAGCTGAGGAGAGAGAATTTGTTAAGAGGCCATGCACTTTTTAAACTCCATCAAATTAAGGCATGCAAGAGTTGGTGTGAAGAGCACCCCGTTCGCGGGTGGTGTTCACACAAGTCCAGAAGGAAAAAGGAAAAAAAAGAAAAAAAAAAAGAAAAAAGAACTTAAGCACAGTATCATGTTTATAGACATCGTTTGATAATTTGAGATACTGTTTAAGATCGCAGGATTAACACATTCATTTATATCTAGAGTAAAACAGCGAGAAGGAAGAGAGATAGAGACAATTCAGATGCTGTTTTAATTAACAGTTGGTTAAAGTGGGCAGAAGAGCTAGGAGAAGAGACAGCAAGAAAGCATTTGAGAGGCCGACGTTTGTTCCCAGGAGTGAGACATAGGCAGGGAGATCACAGAATGGTTTCATATGAGCTTTCATATGAGCTGAGGAGAGGTGAGGAGAGCTTAGAGATAAAACAGAAGAGAGACAGTTAGCAGAGTTAGATACAGTTTGACAAGAGGGAGGGAGGAGCAGAACACTGAAAGACCGGGGGAGACTTTTGGTGAGGCGACGGATAACAAACAACTCCCCATCTCTCCTATCGATAAATGGATATACAGCAAATATTAGACAAAAAGCGTCTCTAATATTTGAACTGCCTGGGAAAAATAATGGATGTGGTTTCTAAGAGATGGACATCAGATTAGACAGTGAAGTGATTTTTTAAAAGATTGGAGAAAAAGCATTACAATTTTATCTTTACAATACAACATTTATAAACTAAGAACATAAAAGATCAATGATGGGAAAATATATATTTATTAAATATGTTTAACAGATTTAAAGTGACCTTTTCTGTGGTGTGACCTTCTGCATTTAACCCATCACCAAAGTGAAGAGCAACTTAAACCTGAAACCTTCCAGGCTCAAGTCCGCTTCCTTAACCACTAAGGCCACCACTGCAAGACATTTGTATTGGCTTATTTATTTTTTTATAAAAATAATTTTAAAAATATGTCCTGCTGCCACAATAGAAAAGCAAGTAAGAAATTTCAAACTAATGTATTGTGTATGTAGTCATTTATGTAGTTATGAATTTAAGGCCTTAATGACAGACAAACAATAACAAAATGGAAACAAAGCAGCAAAAAAAAAAAAGACAAATTTAAAGCCTAAAATTCCAAAAATGAATTAATGAAGATAGGAACGATGGAGCTCAAGCTTTATGTGGTTCCTCTGACTTGTGTGTGTGTTTTGGTTACGTGTTACTGACCTCGTCGTTAAGATTGCTGACCAGTAGAACCCCGCTGGAGCCAGATTGTCCAGCTAGGGCCACTCTCCCTGCAGCAGCAGCAGCTGCTGCCGCTGCGCTCAGAGGGCTCAAGGCTCCTGAGAAACAGAGAAGACAGAACCACCATGGAATGGAGAGCAGCACTCAGACTGAACAGGCAAAATACAGTAGTGAAATAAGTCCGATATCTAGCGAGGATCGCATCACGTCTACATTTTTCTCCCAACGTAAACATGCACTAATCACAGCTCGATTACAAACGTGGCAACATCTCCTAAAATAGTTAGCTAGCTTGTCTGTGTTAGGTTGCTACATCCTTTATGCATATTTCAATGTTTTAGTGTAATAACTGTTTCATATCTGCAGGCACAACGACACCATCCTTCAGATACACCCAGACCGAGCTGAATGTTAAGCCTCCTCTATCACCCAAATCCAAAAATGATATTACAGAAGGAAATGTCAATTCTATTGCTCAGGATATGAGGTCCATCGGTGTTGTGGAAGGCTCTGATTTTAAAGAACTTTTTAAAGGTTTTAGAACGTGGATATACAGAGTACAGTGCCAGCACACCAGATAGCCATGCATGCACAAATTTCAAAATATATGGACAGCTTTTTAAATGGAGTTCTATGACAGTGACTGCAGAATCTTGTGCTTGACACAAAGTACCTCAATTTTCAGTATCGGACATGAAAAAGTTCAAAAAGCCATCCCTTGTTTTCGGCACTCCAAACTCATTAAATCTGACTTAAATTTTTTTTTGTCCATGAACCATGGCACTACTGATATTGCTTTAGAATGGTGCTTCAGCTGAACTGTTAGGGTTGCCATTATTTAAAAAAAAGGATTAAATTATCAAAGTTTTCTTTTTTTTTTGTTTACATTTATGAAATCTTAAATCTTAATCTTAAAATTTAAAAAAAAAAGAACAATGCCATTTAAATCAGAAATTAAGGTATTATAAATTCACACCGCAAACTTGCACTAGTGGCAAAAAGAAGATAAAGAGGACAAAATATAAAAGTGCGATCTACCTGGGATCTTACCGAGGAGGGAGTTGGAATCTTTACTAAAGGCAGCAGCCACTGAAGGATCAATACTGGGCTGTCCGTCTCCGGCAGGAAGTTCAGGACGTGTATAGTCACGACTTTTATCGTTGTTGTATTTAACATTTAGGTTTACCAGCTTGGAAAAGTCAATGCGCAGTGTGCAACATGAGTTGTAAATATTCTGACCATCCAATGCCTGGTGGTAAAGGAAAAAAAATGATTATACTACATTTAACAGATGTATTTAATGATGATTCTTTATAAAGGCGACATTACCAGTTTAGCTTGCTGTGCATTGACAGGGTCACTGAATTGTAGAAGGGCCTGAAACTGATTGTTTTTGGTAAATGTGATTATCTTCATGACTGTGCCAAACTTGGAGAAAATCTAGACAGAAAAAAAAAAGAATAAAAAATGAATAAACTTCAAAAACGGAACATACTGTACCAGGAAAATAAATGATGACTTGTTTGTCACCTGTTGGAGAACATCCAGAGTCACAGGGTAGAACATGTTGTCAATAATGATTCTCAAAACTGGACTGGAAGCTGCAGCGAGAGCTTCCTGTACATCTGAGCTTGGAGAACCACCAGATTGGACTGCTGACACAGCTTGAAGCACTGCCTGGGTCCGCTAAAGAGGAAAAAAAGAAAAAAAAAGAAAGAAAGAAGAATTACAACAATGTCCAACGTAAAAACATCAACGGATAAAAAATAAAAAATAAAACTGCTGTGCCTTCTCCTTCACAACAACAGCTACATTATCTGAGAAATCTACTACTGCCCGAAAGTGTCATGGTACTTTGTGAGATAGAAGCTGTTGCAGCAGAAAGCCAGAGGCTGTCGGATGAGCAACATTCGACAAAATGTTTGATTCTCGACTGCTTTACAGAAGGAAACCTCACATTTTCCATAGCAAAAGAGCTAAGAGAGTAGCCGTGTGCACGTCCATCGTAGACCTGAGGACATTTTCTATGATAAATGTTTGAAGTGGATTGTTTGACAATGCTACGAAATGTGTAAAAAAATCTATTTTTATAATGTATTTTCTTAGTTCAAGCTTTCATACGAGGTGAATTGAGTTACCATCAGAAACTTGAGAAGCCAATGATTCCGGAACTTTACATATTGTAGGATTCAGTACAAATGGTTATAAAAGAAATAATACTGTAATTAGATGATTTTTTTCTGCATATTTTCTTATCTTCCTTGCAATTTTCGGAGCCCCCCCCAATATTCTGTGGCAGCCCCCACATTGCAAAACATTGGTTTATTACAGTACTAAAACAAATTGAAACTGTTAATCAACAAAAACATTTTCTTGTCTGAATAGTCAATATTAATGGAAAAAAAAAAAAATAGGCATTGCCAAAACGTTGCTGTTCTCCTACTGTCTTCCAAAACAAATACATGTGGGAATACAGCACAGATGGATCTGGACACCCAGTAGCAAGTGATTGGTTTTAGTCATCTATACAGAGTTTGTTCAACAACATAGCAAAAAGGCAGAAATATAACATTTAAAGCAAAATATAAACAATTGAAAAAGCCTTAATTGAGCCCCTACCTGATTACCAGCATCGGTTTTAAGTTCCTTGTGATTTGAATATTGAATAAAGACAGGGACGTTGCGAATATGTGGAGTTACTGTGGTGTAGTAGTTGACCATAGTAATGGCTGCCTCTTCTGTCCCCATCTCCAAGAATGCCTAAATATAGAGACACAACAATTAGTCAGCAATTATTTAATTAGCACCTCATCACTTTCATTGGAAATGGCGCATTTATATAATACGTGCTAAATGTCAAAACAGGTACGGTTAGAAGAAAGTAGCCGAGCTAAAAAAAAAATAATTCATTAAATACCTGTCAACAAGGGTTTGCATTTGACCAAGCATTTTAAAATTAGCTTTGTAAAAAGTATAACTAAACACATTATCATTATGACCAAAAGAAATGGGATTCTTAAATTTTGCCTAAACTGAAGTCATTCATCAAATTAAAGTTTCAGTTCAACTATTAGTCCTGTTAAATAGATCTAAAATGTCTCAATTATTCTTGATTTTACTGAGTGAAAGCTCGTTTCTGGTGTAATCGTGTACAACAAAGTTCTTGTGGGAGAATCTGTAGCAGAGTGACAAGAATGAGCCCAAGTAAAAATTATGAAAAGGCAATTGGTCAACAGTCAACTTGCAGCAAAATAATGAAAATAAAACTAGAAGAAAAATAAATGAAATAAGTGTAACAATGAATCACCTTGGCGCTAGATTGGAACAAAGAGGATAAAACTAGAAGAAAAAAAAATGAAATAAGTGTAACAATTAATCACCTTGGCGCTAGATTGGAACAAACTTGGTTAAGGGCAACACTAATGAGAACCTTTATGGAAGGGTTGAAATAGAATTCTTTGAAAAAAAGGTAAGGTATTTATTACAGTTAAAAACTACACCTCAAAGTGGAATTTTTTTTTAAAGCTTTATATTATAATAAATATTCACCAATTCCTAATTTCTACTCACCTGGTTCTTTCCCTTCAGTGTTAGGATATTAGTGACTTTGCCAAAAGGTAGGCCCAGGGCAATAACTTCTGTTTCTGAGGCCTCATTTGGCAGTTTCCTGATGTGGAGCACACGAGATGGAGAGGCCTCCTCTACCCTCAGCTTTTTACTGTCACTGCCATTGGAAGTCCCATCTAAAATACAATTTAAATTAAGTTGTGATTGAGACTACTGCGGTATGTGTCTTAAGATAACTCAACACAAAGGCAAGGGAAATACAATATAGACTGTGGTGGCCTGTTATAGTGATATAAACACAACAAATGAAACTGTAAATAATGTATACTTGACTCATTGATCGCCTTGAGTTTAAGGTTTCATGTACATATTTGACTGTTGAAGTGAAAATAAATCAATAGAATTCAAGTGCTGGATAAATTACGTCCAGTCATAGAATATATTTCTAGAACACAACACATTCACACATTATGATATCCAACTGTCTCACTTTTGTGCAACTCTGGGTGAATGTGGGCCCCCTCCCCTTTCTGCCACTGGAATTGTGTGGAATAGTTCCACATTGGCCTTAGGAGAACCAATAGGATATACAAGTAGCCTAGATTTTCAGAAAATCTGATGTAAAAGTTAACTTCTTAAGAATACAATTACAAACTGATATGGACTTGTGTACCTCGGAAATTGAAAGTTTTATCCTTAACAACAGAATACAGAAAAATGCACAGAAACACTGCACATCATTATTTATCTCCTCTTATTAAAATCATACATGGTCTGGTCTTATTTACCTCACTAACTGTCAATACAATAAACAACAAAATAATAAGAAATATCAACTGGGAAGTGTTCCTTTTTTTGCAGAAACACTTTGTAACACACTGTAAAAAAAAAAAAAACAAAAAGCAGGTGACAACACAATTTTTTAGCACATACTGCTAACTACTGTACTGGAGTGAGTAGTGTCATGGTATGACCACTGATTTTATGAGCTAATGCAACCTACGCCTGACACCTCGATGCACGATTACATTTTTTTTTAATTTCAACTAATGTTAATTGCATGCATTTCTAACAATTTAATTGAGACATGACACATTGTTACCTACTTAAACTAATTAAATTTACATAAACGCATTCCCAAATGTTTTTGAGTTTACAATAGTAGAAACACCCTTATTTTTAACTTAACAAATTAGGCATTTCAAGAGAGGTTTGCTTAGATTTAATGTAAATCATTTTTTGGCATATCCTTTGGAATACAGATATTAATGTAAAAAATAATGCGATTTGTTATGACTAATATGTTTTGAAAAATACATATGTAAGTTTTTAAATAGTTGGCAATTTACACGTGTTTTATTGGGATAAAAAAAAAAGGTCAAAAAATCTCATTGATATGTTTTTTTAAAAATGGTATTCCTTAACAAAAATTAATTGTAACCTGGTTGTTTTTATACACCTAAAAGTTTAATCTGTTTCACAACAGCTCAGCAGCTCATAACTTGAAACACCACTTCAGACAGTAAAAAGCATTGAAGAAAAATGGTTTAATACATGCAGTCCATTAATAATAATAATAATCCCTAACATCATCAAACAACAAAAATGTTTCTCTTAGAAGAGTTCAGTCTATCCCCTCTGTGTACAGAGGTGGTCGGAACGAACTCACCACTAATACTGCTTATGCCAGAGTTGGAACTGTTGTACATACTCAGCTCGTCTGATCCTCTCTGTTAGAGAAAGAAATGACATACAGTTAGACTCAGTAAAAACAAGGGAAAAGGCCAATATAAACAGGTCTTCAAAAGAAAAACTAAACCACTCTCAGAAAATAATTCACATGAAGCATTTTTGGCTGTAAGATCTACCAACTAACAGTCAAGGCAGAACACACAAGGCAAGCATTTTTCTGATGCTCAAATCACACCCACCTTCCCTGTGGTCAAGATTTTATATTATACTATAAATGGTACACCTCTGCTCCTGTACCATCTGTTTATTAGTTGGGTTTTGAAATGTCTTCATAAAAATAAAACGAAATGGAGCCAGTAAACCTTTAGCTTCTATGATCTTTGAATATAAAGCAATAGAAAAATGATATGACAAATAAAACATTCTATGATTTTTAATCCTAAAATATAGATAACTAGTACATCACAAAATAATATACAATTAAGGTGGTCCAATTAATGAAATATGGTTTTTGTCAAGGCTTTTTCTTTTTTTCCTTTTTGGCAGCCACGTTTTTTGGTGAGCTAGTTACTTGTGCTATATTTTTATTATATCTTTAAAGGAACCAAACAGCCAAAAGACTAAATGGAAGAAAAAAAAAAAAGACAACAGCTGCTGAGTGGACCTCCTCTGTTGGTCAGTTTAATCTAGGTGAATTTAAAATGTCAAGATGTGTCATTTCATTCTGAGCTACAGCCCCAGTAGGTTTTGCTGGAGCCACCAGGCGCCTAGTGCTCTTAAACCTGACTGATGGGATGACGAAGAACCTGGCCAGGGGACCTATTACACACACACAACTTTATAACAGCTCCATACACCCCCTGCTTGTTTCTGTCTGTCTAAACTCGAAACCATTGTTTTTCTGTCACTTACATTCTTTATGGTGACGATAAAATAGATGTTGTCAGCCCTGCAATGGTGCCGTGACACAAATAAATTGAAAGGGTAATAAAGTTGCCTGACTTAGGTCAAAATGTGGACGTGTGGAGACATGACTTCTCAGCCAACAGCTGCTTACTCTCTTGTTTTATTTCTGACAGTGATATATTAAGGAAATAAACAGGGTGGCAAAGATCACCATATCCGAGGAATCAATACTTTATCACTGTTCTCTTTTCTCCAGGGAGGACTTTAACTTTGTTTTCTGCTGACAAAAATGCAGCTGGCACCCAACAGATATGGTTAGCTACTCTAAACCACACCGCACCAACAAAAGAAAACAGGTTTGTTGCCTATATAAAGGGACGCTGGCCTTACTCATTTCATTAAAGCTCATACAATGCAATGAAAGAAATCTCATTTTTTACAAAAACAAACAAACAACAAACACACAATGTTTGTGATAGTGTAATGTTTTTAGCAGAAAGGAAAATTATTCTATGTCAGTCATGTTTAAGGAGACAAAAAGTACATAAATTATCTGTAGATGGTGAAATTACTTATGATTTAAATACATTTCTACAGCATGTGAAGGATGCTTAAATATAGCTGATTTTGATCTGATCACTAGCTGGTCAATCGGTGCATCTCTCTATCGCTTGATGATATCACAATGCTCTAATATACATCAATACATTTCTTAACAAGATATAACAAGCTTCCCCATCCACTGTCATCTACACTCAGCGACAACAGAGACAGAGGCTATGCCCGCATGGGAACAAAAAAAAGTCATGTCCTCACCTGTCAAATTAATAAATAGTAGCGATGCACCAAAATTAAATTTATTCGGCATAACCAAAAGACAGAAAATGAGGAAACTAAGGCCGAAAACCGAAAAAAAAAAACTAAAAAAAAAATAAAACTAATGCAGATTATTAATACCATTGCAATTATGGCTATGACTGTGTACTAAACCTCAATAAAATCAAGGCACTCCAATTGCATGAATTAATGTTTCAGAATAAAACAATTACAAAATTATGAAAACATTGATTTAGCACATTCCAGCACACATACCAATGTGTTTTTTTATGTGCAAGTTGCTCACAACATGCATATAAATAAACTTGACCCTACTAATGTGTACATCGTACCAATGCGTTTTTTATTTATGTGCATATTGCTCACAACATGCATATAAATAAAATAAAATGTTAAACTTGACCCTACTAATGTGTACATTAAATGATAAAACACAATGTGCATTTAAGTCAATTACTTGACCATTGCTCGTGCACGCTGCTTTATTCCTGCATCCAAGTAATGATCTTTATAACGCAGATCTATTAGAGTTGCTTGCGTCGTCATAACTTCCTGTTTCGGCCGTTTTGTTTCGGCGACGAATGCATCCCTAATAAATAGTGGCGTCAAGATGGGAAAGGAACTCTGGGTCAAACCGATATGATACATATGCCACACCTACATGTGACTCTGTAAACAGACAGAGCCACTGGACACTGGAAAAACTGTAATTTTGTATGCGCCTCCGACACCCTTGTATGAGATTCCGCTACAATGCTACTGATAAACCTAGCAGCGCCTGCAGCACTAACCAGAAGTGTAATTATGACTGAACAGATTTGAAACTATTTTTCCCAAATGGCGATTGCCATGTGACTAGCGAACACAAATAAGAGGTGCTACAAGTATTCCCATTTTATGTCTAATATGAAATTGATTTATAATAAACAGGAAAAAAACTCACCTTCACTCCAACTCCAGGAAGTATTCCCATTTTATGTCTAGTATGAAATTGATTTATAATAATCAGAAAAAAAACTCACCTTCACTCCAACTCCAACATTACCGATGCTGAAAGAGAAAGAAAAACTGTTAAATCAATGACTACTAAATATACATTAATACAAAAACTAACCACTAACACCAAAAAACAAAGTAAGACCATGCACTATAATAGCATACAATTTCTATCACCTTTCTTTTGCAGGAAAATAGGGTGTAAGGAAGGGGGAGGGGGCTGTTAGAATTTTGTTTTTAGCATTTTCTGTATTGCGAGTGCAACGGCATACTAGTTATACCACTTGTAAGAACACAATATTAAACCCATAAAAATAAGCTTCGTTTAATTGTGATAAGATTAAAAGAAAGTTAAAATGATAAAACGAGGAAGGCTCAGGCAACAACGAATAACTTACAAAGGAAGTACTAATCACTAAAACAAGAATTTTACATAGCCCTTTCATGTCAACTTGAACTTCATGTCAAATCAGCAATTCTCACTAAATCCCTAAAAGTACTCTACTAGTTTATGAACCTTTAAAATGTATTTTTCTTTTGTCTGGCAGTTGCAAAATGCTAGTTTGTGAACCTTTAAAATGTATTTTTCTTTTTCTTTTGTCTGGCAGTTGCAAAATATTTTTATCAAAATATTGAAAGGGCTTCTGCATACATTGAACGTTTGATTGATTGTCGTAAATCTTTTTTTTTTAATTAATCACAAGGTTGATATATTAGTTTGCACCTGTTACAGCTCTTAAATTTGTCTTTTATGCTTATCTAAAGAACACAAAACAAAGACATATATGTCATCCCACAAAGCTTCTTTATTTTTCTGTGTAATGTGTAGATGTCATGTTGTTTATTCTGATTTATTCAAACGTGTGGGTTGTGTTTATGGTGGCCAGTTTTGTCTTTATTTTTGATTTCATGTAGGCTTTACATTTCTAACACAAATACTGTGGGCTCATGGTCTATGACCAGATTAGATTTACAGGCCTGATTTACATGGGTGATCAGACAATACTGTCCTAAACTGCAGATCCTTATTATGCAAGTAATTTAGTTGATATCCCGTTTACAAAAGCGTAAATGAGGTAGAAATATTTTTCTTGTGGTCCTATAAAATTAATGAAGGTATTCATTTAAACATTTGGATTGTTTTTATATGGTAGTCATGCGTAATGTTGATTTGTCTTGTACAGCGGGATCAGCTATGATGGTGGGTTGTAACACAAAGGACCACAGCTGTCCATTCGTTAGCATAACCACAATCTGCATTAGCCTGTAGCCGCTATTTCTGCACCCTGCACACAAACACAACTATTGTGGAAATTGAGAATTCAATTCATTAAAAGACCAAATTAAGCCCAAGCTTATGTTAAATCACGACGAGGGTAAAAACAAAGGTCGTTAGCTAAGTTGTGCTGAAATGCTAACACAGACACAAGTGAAAGAGCGCGTGGCTATGGAAACCCAGTCGAAAAAAGAGCACCACTCGTTTACAGAAAATGTAAATGTTTTGTAAAACGGTACATAAGTATAGCTGTTGGGAAACATGATTGATGAGAAAAAAGAATTACCCGTCCATATTTGGAAAGATTTAGCAGCGCGTCCGTCTCGGGTCCTATTTTCCACGCCAGTTTACATCAACACTGCGCAAGCTCAGAAATACACGACAGCAAAATGGAGGCTAGACGAGGCGGCTCTGAAGCGGAACGGGAAGTTCAAATGTTGCTGCGGTAGTTTCGTTAACACTACAATTATACATTTATTTTTATTATAAATTTATTTGATAGTAAAGTGTGTCAAATTGCGCTGAAATTAGTGTGTCAAATTGCGCTGAAATTAAAAAAAATATAAGTAAGTATAATATACTAATTCAGTCACAACTATAAGTAAAAGCAATGGAGCGTCCCATCAAACACACTATATGTTCTGCAATTTTAAAAATAATTTACAAAAGCTGGAATTAAATATACCAAGTTAATTAGAAAAATTAAACAGCATATGCTATTTTAAATTTACACATATTATATATTGTATTTCTGGGTATATTTTTTTAAAATAAATTATTGCCATATAAGTGAAAAACCATAACCAACTTTAACTTTATACAACACAATTATGTTACAAAGTTGCCCACAGAAGCTACTAATGTGCTGCTGTTTTCTTAGGGTGTTTTGTTGTTGTTCTGCGTTTGTTCTTTTAGGATGCCTGTTCTCAGGCTGGGGACTACACCAGGATACTAGTCGTGTTGGCTAAATCTGCCCATTTTTACTACTATTTATTTTTTTTATTATTATTTATTATGGACATTTTTACAGTGGATGTTTAAAAAATAAAATTGTTCAAGAGTGTTGAAGAAACAAGCAATGATTTTATTAAATGGCCAAAATAAAAAAAGATTGATGAAGATGTTGTTTTTGGAGAAAAACACTCCGTACTTATTATGACTGTGATTAGAAGAGACAGTGGAAAGTGGAAACACTTTTACAAATAAGGACTTTTTCAATTTTTTTTTTTTTCGTTCTTCTGTTGGGGGTGTAGAGGAAACTAGACTTAGCACAGCTTTCATCAGTTGTTTATGTGAGAACTCACTCAGACTACATTTAGTCCCACCTTGAAAGAATAGGGTCTCCTCAGCCCGTTTGGACCATATTTATATGCGCCGTACATATTTTTTATTTTTAGTTCCATTTTAATTTTTCATTAGCATTCAATGTGTTTCAGGTGGTTTTTATACAGAAAAAAAATGATGTTACACAAGACATCACCAAATCTATAAGGCCCTGGAGAACAATGTAATAAGTTAGAACATTTGAGTGATTCCACAAAAAAAAAAAAAAAAAAATCAATCAATATTAAAAGCCTCAAAGTAAAGAAGATGGCTTTGTCTGACCTGCTGGACATAAAATTGCAGGACACTTTGGTCAGGTCCCAATTTCGAAACATCAGACAAATGGATGACCCCTGCAGCTTTTCTTTAGCCTGGACAAAAGGCTGACAGGAAAAGATAATTCACACACTGCCAAGTGACACAGCAAAGAGTAATGGAAAAAAGCCAGATCAGGACAGAGATTTTTTTTTTTTATGAAGTCCCCACTAAGGTGAGATGGGAGTCTCAAAAGAAACTAGCTCGGGGTAGCCCTTAAGATGCTGGAACTAATGTTCAGAGACTGCAGGGAGTACGAGATCCCAGAATTTGTGGCAGAACATCTAGGACATCCCAGCAAAAATTCTGCTAGATCTTGTGTCTTTCTTTTAGTTTGGTGCCAGTGTTCCACGGAATGGCAGTCCCTCCCAGTTAAATAAGAGACAGCTTGCAGGTCTAGTCTGAATTTACTAGGGCAGTGGTTCTCAAACTGTGGTATGCGTACCACTCTCTAGTGGTTTTACGGTACAAAAATCATATTTTCACATTTACATTTTCAATTGAATAAATCTGAAACATACCATGCACAATTAATACAACATTTAAACATAAACATCTTTATAAACATCTCTCCTGTGTGGTGGAAGCTAATAGGGAAGGCCTATGCTGCTATATTCTAATGTTGGTCACCATGGTGGTACTCAGAGAGCTCAATGTTTTCTCAGAGTATTAAGTTATATAAAACCACTGTACTAAGGTTTTTCACACTATTAACTCATTTTAGGGGCCCTTGATTTTAATTATGTTCTCCTGGCATTTTGACTGATTTTACTGTGTTGCTTTTAAAGCTGCGCATCGGTAGTGTTTAGTTGTTTGCCTCTCCATAATTTCCCTATAACTTCTTGTTGTTTATTTCATGTCCTCTGTCCCAAACAAGTCTCCCAAGAAAGAGACCTTGTGTCCCAACCAAAGCTTTTACTTTGTACAACAGGTTTGATTTAAATTTTGCAATATCGATTCATAGGGTCTCGTGCGCGATTGACATTCACAAGCGTGCACACACAAAATGCCCAAATATTAATCACTTACAGTTCTTATGGCCCATTGAGCAAATCACATATTCAAATTTACTTGCCTATAATACCTAGCTGTGTCATTAAATTCTCCATGCAAAATGTGGCTTGACCCTCATCATCCGTAAAGGCATGTTTTGGTCACCTTGTTTCTTTTTTTGATTTTTACATACCTTTGAACAGCTGACAACACCGTTTGTCGTTTCTAGCCCCAATAGCACCAAAAGCTCTTTCCAGTGTGTTGACTCAACAGATGTGGTATTTTAATTAATGGTTGCCTGATATTTTTCAGCTGTATCACTTTCTTCTTCCTTTGAGAAATGAAGCATGCTTGGCAAGGCCAGTACAGTGTTTGCCCAGGTGTTTCAAACGTACGTAATGGCACACCCATGTAAGCATATGATTTAAGCATGTGAAGGGGAATGCAATTGTGACAGTACCCAATCACTACTCGCTCAAGTCTCCAACTCCACATTAATTAGCGGTTAACAAGGACAAGTCTTGTACGTTAAATGGAAGAAACACTAAAAATGACAGGATCTAAAAACAAACTTTGACTGAAACTGTGGTGGAGTAGGACTGTCATTATGACTAGGCTTTTTCCTCCCAACTCTTTCTGCAAATGTTATGTTATTTTGTACTGCGCCTATGTGGGAGATGAGAAAAATTGTGTTACATAAACATTTAAAAGCAAAGTTACCTGTTATAGATGGTACATTTTCTCTTTTGGGTAAATTGTCTCAGCTGTATCTTCACGTTACATATGTTGGGATTATTTTTTTCTTTCTTGAGTACCATTGGTACTTTAATAGTAGCCATTCATTAGCCTGTAAGGTAATTTTATTTATTACCAAAACACGTAGTCACTGTGAATGCAAATTGTTACCTCATAACACAAATAACCTCCACTTGAGTTTATAATACACAAAACTGTGTTGACAGCTGTTCCCCCAGATCCTGCTTAGCCGGACACCAACTGTGCCACTAGTTTTCTTGGAGCATGACAGACACGAGGGAACATTAAAGGCAAACTTGGGCAACTCATTTCTTTAAGTTCTGAAACACTAATCTGCACCGGGGAACAACCAGGAAAGATAATAGACTATAGTCTGGATTTCAGGGGTAGAATGAATTAATCTGGATAGGTTGTTATCCTCCTGGGTTTGCCCAGAGTGTGAGGAGAGGAGAACAAATTAAAATCTCTCCAGGGTGAAGCTGACAGCACAGGTTTGTAAATAAAACCAGCTGTTTCGTTGACAACTAAAGTAACCAACGTGGTACCCAAATGCAGCTCACAACTAGGCAAGGGTGTTTGGTTCAGTTCATGCAATCAAAAAAGTCCAAGTCAGGAACAAAAAATAAAACGATAAAAAAAGGAAAACAGCAATCACGCAGGACAATTCAAACAAACAAAAACGTATTTTTGTTGCTGTTGCAGTGATGTGTTTTGAGTGTGTGTTTGCCTGTATTGTGGCAAGGAGGAATAAATAGAGGTCATATCATGACTGGGTGTGTAAAAAAAAGATCATTGGTATTAACGAGAAAAACATACTCTCCTTAAGCGAGAAGCCACCTTGTTTATTACGGTGTGGTACTTTGGAGTGTCTAAACTCAGCAGTATTGGATGTCAGTATTCCACGGCAGCCGCTGCAGGATGAACTTGGCCAGGACAAAGGCATGGCTGTTGCTCTCGAGCGAGATCAATTCGCATATAATTGTGTAGTAAAGGGTAATACAGTCTAGGGAGCATTGATAACAGTGTGGGGGAGGTTTGTAAAGGGTGAATATATATGTAAATAATATAATAACTATCTTGCCTCTACTCTACACTTTTTTGCGTTGGGTCTTGGAACGTTGGAGTGTTGGGTCTTGGAACGCTTGGAACTACCGCCATAGGAGAAGAATTACTTTATATATTTATCTCGATGTATTTCTAATGTATAAAGTAAAGTAGGACGTTTCCAGTTAAGGCCGAGGCTAAAGGTTGAGGAGGATTAAATCATTTCACATGCAGTATAGGCTTAGGTTTGTTTAACTTTAATTTATCTCACAACACATTTAGCAGGCCTGCATTTTTGTTTCTTCCTTATTATAGTAATAACTATATAGTCTTAGAGGTGCATCGTGCTTGATTCCAGTCTACCAGCCAATAGCAGCAGGATCTTCTGGGTGTTTGACAATTTCCTTATTCCCTGTGGCTCAGAGGGCCCCTCATCAGCTAATTTCAACATGACAGGATCAGTACCACAACTCTTTTGGGAAATGTCATTTTTAATTAAATCCCAGGTCCTTTAAGATAAGCAGTTAGGCATTAATTCTACCTATGGCGTACCATTGTTAGGAGCCCAGAAGCATGATGTGTGTCCATCAAGACTAATCATTATGCAAAAACATTTTTTTTTTAACTTTTGTCATTTGCATTGCATTAAGGAGGAATCCCTTACTGCTTGTCAATAGATAAAATTACTAGTCCCTGAGTGTTCTGTAATGGATGTTTTCCCTGACATTCAGGGAATGTGTCCCTAAATGCCAATCAGATATTTTTTATATCTAAACCTCTCTGTCCAGAGCTTCCATCCCTAATGTGCCATATAATTGTAAAGCTTTCCCTAAAGAGATCGACTTTATTTTTTGCAATATCTTATGTTAATATGGAACCCTGTCTGTTACAGGAGAATCATAGACTACCTTTCCTAACCATTTTATTTTATCTCTATGGGTTTGGTTACAAATCACTTTTGCGTAGCATCTATTGCTCCGATCTACAGCGTG